GTTCTAATTTCTCCGAAATGATTTGCATTAGGCACTTACCTATATCAACTTCACTTCCATGGTGTTCTCCTCATTGAGGACGGTTGGAAAATTAACTTTCGAAACTTTCAGGAACAAAAAAGCAACACCAAAAATTTGCTAAATAATCTAGGATCGGATCCGACCCATCCACCACAGGCATCTCTCGGTATAAGACGACAAGGCCGACTGCACCATCCCTGCGCCTGTTCGATTATTTTTCCTCGTCATTTGTGTTTTTTGTAGGCATAAACTTTTCTGCCTTTTCATGGTACGCCGGTACGACATTATTGCTGATTGTGTCGAAGTAGACCGATCTGCGGAAATGATGTGTTGTGTTGCGTTTTTCGTTCTTGTAAAAATGTTTAAAATTTATATTTTAGGTTTTAAAAAGTTTTAATTAAATCTATACTGACCTGTTAGAAAGTGCATTAAGCGAACATTACAAAATCCCTCCCTTTACGTTGCTTCAGCTGACTCGTCGCAATGCTCAGCTAAGTTTGTATTCTACTGTAAAGGCGGTAAGCTCCAACCGATATTATCCTCGGTTTAAATCCTGATCAAGAATGTCTTGCTGCGTTGATATCGACATTAGAGTTAATCAACACGACTCTAAGCACACATTTTGCAGATCATTCAAACAGGTTCGATATTAAAAGTTCATCCGAGTTGGAGTTTACCGCCATAATCTGTGTCCGAATGTAAAAATTAATAAAAATCACGTTCATCTTGGTAAGTAAGGCGCAAATCGCGATTCAACGCATTTTACATGGATTTATGAATAAGGCCTAAATCGTTAACACCCCTTAATGTTTTAGGGTTTGATATCTTCAAGTTAATTTATCTCCGTAACTATGGTTAGGCTAGTGATTTTACGCATGTTTGGATGTTCAAAATCTATAAATGCGACTCCCTATAATAATTCAAGGGTATGCACAAATCAATACAGCATGCTGACCAAATATTTTAATAAAGGGTGTCCACGATGAAATTGCCACACACAAAATTGATTCGCAAAATTCGAGTTTTCATCCGATTGCCATCAAATTTTCAGGGATTGAGAAATAACTATTAAACTTCATTTTACCATTTTACTCGTATTTTATTTACAGTCTAACGCAAATGCCCGCACCTTGGCCTTAACCCCGGCCATAAGATTCTGCACAACCTGTGAATCAACCGTTTTTTGCATGTAAACCCATACTTTCTTCAGTTCCTCGACTGTCTTCACTACCTTAGGTCGTTTAAGAAGGTGCTGCTTCATAATCGCCCAGTACTTCTCGATGGGGCGGAGCTCCGGAGTGTTGGGAGGGTTGAACATTTTCGGCACGAAATTGACCTTATTGTCCGCATACCACTTCAGCACGTCCTTGGAGTAGTGGCATGAGGCCAAATCCGGCCAGAAGATTGTTGGGACGTTGTGGGCCTTCAAAAGAGGAAGCAGCCGCTTCTGGAGGCACTCTTTTATGTACACCTGTCCGTTCATCGTGTCCTGGGTCACGAAAGGTACACTCCGCTTCCCGCACGTGCAGATGGCTTGCCAAACCAGGAATTTCTTCGCAAATTTGGACATCTTCTGAGTGCGGACATGCTCCGGAACGCTGAACTTATCCTTGGCCGTGAAAAACAGGTTGCCGGGGATCTGTTTGAAGTCGGCCTTCACATATGTTTCGTCGTCCATGATGCAGCATTCAACTTTCGTCAGCATGTTGAGGTACAACTTCCTGGCACGGGTTTTGGCGGACTTGTTCTGCTTCTCGTCGCGATTAGGGGCCTTTTGTACCTTGAACGTTCGAAGCCCAGCCTTAGTTTTGGCCTTATGGACAAAACTTCGGCTTAGGTGCAGCTTCTTAGCCACATTCCTAACGGAGGCGTTTGGATTTCGGTTGAAGGCCCCAACTACGCGGTTGTGATTTTTGGTGTTGTACGGAATACTTTTTCCTTCACTTCTGGGCTTCCGATCGGTGGTCAACCGTTCCTCGAACCGCTTAATCACTCGCGACACCGTGGAATTCGCGATTCCCAACGTTTTAGCGATGGAATGATGCGAGAGATCCTTGTTCTCGTGATGAATGCGCAAGATTTTATCACGCACGAGCTGTTCTTTCGACTCCATTTCCGCGAGTTTTGATCACAGGACTTTAAAACTTGCAGGATGTAAATAATGCACTATGAACTAAATCCACCCAAATTTTCATTAAATTCTACCCAACGGTTAAAAAGTTAGAGCAATTTCATAGTGTGGCAATTTCATCGTGGACACCCTTTACTTCAATTACTGTCATAAATTCATATTTTATTTATTCTCAATGTACCTAAAATACCATTCATTAAATTAATTACCGTAAATTATATGTTGATTCCTTTCAATTCCACTCAAAATATAAAAAATATATTACTGTTATCAAAGTATTATACTACAGCAAATGTATGTTAAATACCACGCACTCATAACAGCAAGCGCGCTTCTCGTAAAAATGATTTAAAAATTGATGTAGGGTTCGAAATCATGAGGCGTTTATCTAAAAAATCGTTGCCTAAACTACGAAGATTTTGAAATCTCTCAAATCACGATTAAGGTCATATTTACGCAGATAAGCGCATTAGAGCTTTCGAACACCCAAACGCCCCTAAAATCGCGATTTAGGTTTTTTTTAGAGATAAATGCATTTAAAAATTGTGATAACCCAAACACCCACAAAATCACAATTTAGACCTTATTTACGGAGATTATCGCATTCATTAGATTTTTATCACCCTAAAACGCCAAAAATTCCCGATTTACAGAGATAAATGTATTTCAAGATTTTGAACACCCGAGCACCCTTAAAATCACGTTTTAGACCTTATTACCTCTGTTACCCAGTTGTGTATCTAAAGGTTTTATTTTTTTTTTTCAATACTACTTTCCCTCTGTAACCAATAGCCACACAAACTATTTCACCTGAATAAAACATTCCCAAATCGATAAGTCTTGATTCGCTCTAACTCGACAGTTTGATTTCGACATCGTAGAAAGAAATCGAATATGTATGAGAAATCGGCTCGGCAAGACGAACTTTGGTTATGTCTGTATGTGCGCCTGTGGCAAACTTTCTCCGAGATGGAGTCAACAAAGTAAAAGTGAAAGAAGAGCTGCAAAATGGAGCACATGCGAATCGCAGCATGCGCTACCACAATGGAATGATGCTGGTTAAGAAAATACCACTTTCCTCCCTCATTAGTTAAATTTTGAATATCCATTTTGTGCTTCTGTTATAAGTATCAGTATTGTGTATTGTGCTTGTTTCGGATTCAAGTCGCGTGGTAGAGCGTTCTCGCTCCCACCAATACGGCAATATGGACGCGATGTCAGATGACATCGCGGACATTTTGTCGGACGCCCTTCGCCTCTCGATCCCCCCCCCCCCGGTGGTTCGTCGTCTCAGACGCAAACCTTCCACCGAAATCGTGCCTACCCAAGTGACTCGGTTGGCCCATGGGTTGTCTATTTTCAGCCCAAAAACAAACCCTTGAATGTTGTTCAAATATCTGATAATCTGACAAAGCGATTATCTGCCGTGACCGAAATAACGAAGGTTAGGCACAACAAACTTCGTGTGACCGTCGCTGAAACAGGCCAATGAAATTTTCACACTGGAATATAGAGTGTACATTCCAGCCTCCGATGTGGAGATCGAAGGCGTGGTCACTGAGGCGAGCCTGAACCTCGAGATACTGGAGAAGCAAGCGGTTGACCGAGAACCCCTTGCTTCCTCCGGTAAAGATACTGGCCGTTCATAGAATGAAATCAGTATCGCTCAGCGAGGGTAAAAGAGTTTTACCCCCACAGACTCGTTGCGGGTGACCTTTTCTGGATCTGCCCTTCCTCAATACATCGAGCTGGGAAAACTTCGTCTTCCTGTGCGGTTGTTTGTACCTCGGGTCATGAACTGCCAGCATTGTAAGCGGTTGGGACATACGGCCTCCCACTGCGGCAACAAGGCACGCTGCTCCACATGCGGGGAGAAGCATGAGGATGGCGCCTGCGCAGCTACTGCACCAAAATGCGTGTACTGCAACGGAACTCCTCCTCATGCTCTCTCGTCGTGCCCGGCGTACAAACAGCTCGGGGACAAAATGAAACGCTCCCTTAAGGAACGTTCCAGGCGGTCTTTTGCAGAAATGCTTAAGACAGCCACGCCATCGACCAATAACAAAAAAAAAAGAAAGAAAATACCCGGAACAGTCAACTTTCCGGTGGTGGTACGGTTTTATAAGACGCAACTAGGAACTCAAGATCATCATACTAATCATGGACGTCGATATATCGTGGATCACATCAGAAATGACATGGGAGACTTTCAGGATTTAACAGCGATGCAGAAAAGGACAACGAGCTCGCTAATAGACACGAAAATTGGACATAAGGGTGAAGAAACAGCGAAAGTTGGTGAGATCGTTTTAAATTATTGCTCATATTTATACAAACATTGCTTATACTTAATACGCGACAGAATAAAAAAGTTTTTTTTTATTCTAGAAGTGTGAATGCATTACATGTATCCAATTGATATATCGATGTGTTCATGCGAGGCTTATTTTATATGAAGGCGACCTCAGAATGTATGTGTATGAACAAGCATTCTTGAAATGGGTCGTTGGATGTACAGTAGAGCTATCACCTTCCATCGCCAGGGCTAAAAATGTTTGCATTTGCATCTATGGTTTTTGATCAAATTTCCGTCCTACTAAGCACTGTAATAGGCTTCATGTTGTGGCTTATGAACTAACTGCTCGATAGAACGGAAATGGGCGATTAGGACTAAGTAGCGCTCTACCCTATGTATAAAAATATGTGTAATCAATTTTCTTCCATAACAGCACTGCCGGCCAGTGGGAAATGGATTGTAAACACACACACACACACACACACAGACACAATTGCACCTTAAAATGTGTTAAATATCAATTCCCACAGCCAATTAACAAAGAAAACCTACCTTCATAAAATCGGCCAGCATGTATCCCTGCTCAGTGCCGATAAAATACGCCATCGGGCCGGCAAAGAGCAACGTGTCCGACATCTTCCTAATCGAGTCGAACTTGACGTTGTGCTCGATGTCCGTTGTCAGTCCGGTAACGGTTAGGGCGAAAACGCCACAGATGAGATACAGTCCCATTAAGGGTATAGTTCCGGTATATGATTGAATACTGAGTGTATTCATTGTGCTACTATTAATGGGGATGTTCCGATCCCAAACTGGACATAGGTGAGATCCGCAGATGCGCTCCCCGTAGTCATTGGTTTGAAACGTACTGTAGGGAAATCGGTCCAGCTGGTATCCATCGTTTTCGTGCGGCTGCATACGGATGTTGTACAGGAAGAACATAGTCTCCTTGAGCGAAGGCATACTCGGGGTAGTCACTTTGCTGGTAGGATTAGGCTCTGCCAGGCTTTTACTCGTCGAAGTTGGTGCAATTTCAATGGACGGGAGGCGAAGTGTCACTCCACTCGATGTTGTACTGTTCAATTGAGCCGTAGCTGCACCGCTGGCATTAGCCGAAGACAGTGCCGATATGTAGAAGCATCCGGCGCGGTTTGACGAGGCACACGTTAGTACGAACGACGCAACGATAGTGCCAATGATTATACCAAAGTCACCGGCCGCTCGAAACCAACGGCCAAGTCGTCGAATGCTTTCGTCTTTGCTGCATAGAAGCTTATGGTCGTCGAAGCTGTCAGCGTTGATACCGGCCATGCTGGTTCCACCACATTCCGGTTGCGAACAGCTCAGTTTTCCGGCCATTGAAACCACCAACGTATGCTTGCAGATCACCGAAGGCCCTAAGACTAGCCCGAGCACTAGATAACCCGGAACCAGCGATACCAGTACCGGGTAGATATGTGATGCCAAAAACACACATAGTCCTCCGTAGACCGAAGCCAGTACGATTGAGTAACCAAATTTCCGCAGGACTTTGGTCGTTATTAGGCACATGAAAGCCGTTACAATACAGCATATACTGAGCAAGGCGGATCCAACATCTGGACCCATCGCGAGCCACGGTTCCTGTTGGAACCACGTGGAATTGGATCCTTGCAACCCAATCAGAGGGACCAACGCCGTACACATCAGTCCGTGAGCAATCGTAAGAAGGATGAAGTTTTTGGTAACCTTGTTTCGCACGTGCGTAGGAATCTTATGTCGACACCCGTAGCTTCGGTTATTGACCGTGAGTAACCTCCGTACAGAAGTAGCACCAATAGAACTGTTGACCGATTCCCGTCGTCGGTTGCCAAGGGTTGAGCTTTGGAAGGGATACCCTATGGTTAGAGGCGGGGCAACCGCCAGCCGGTGACTTCGAGAGGAGGCCGGTGAATAGTTGGCGATGAATTGCTGTGGAACAATCGAAGAAGTGTTTGAAATTGCAATTTACTGTGGGTATTTTTTGGAACGTACCTCAATCATTGGGTCGTCCCAGATATGGTGCGCCTGACCAGAACTGCGAGTTCGCAGAACCTTCCTAGCCGCAGGAGGACATTTCTGTTGAAGGAATGTTTTCGCTGCAGCGATCTGTGAATTGAACAGAAGCATGAGGTTAACTTTGTAGTTTTTAACTAATTAACGGTATAAAATAAATATTGCACACATAAATACCCCAAGATAAAAATACTTTCAAATGACAAGATTATCACTAAAGTAGCTTATCGCTTACTCCTTTATTATCACCCTGATTAGAAATTTATTAATCCAAAATTCCGCAATATTATAGATGTTCATAAAGCAGCCCTCTAACGGCGCCGGTGGTGTAGTGGTAAGCGTGATTACCTCTCACCCCAGCAGGCCTGGGTTTAATCCCAGTTGGCGCCGCCGGGAAGTTCTGAGGCATAACATCTCTGATCACGCCTTCCTTCGGATGGGAAGTAAAGCCGTTGGTCCCCGGTTCATGAGTTGATGGGTCGATAGGTAGGGTCCAGGTGTGGGAGCTGCCTTCCTGGTACGTCAGTAGCATTGGTGCTCAGCACGGAAAATAAGATCGACGGAAAAAAACAAACCAAAGGGAAAAAAAAATAATAAAGCAGCCCTCAAAATCCCTTAATTTTCCTAGAGTTATCGGAACTGCCTTGAAGTTCACGTAACTTTCATTCTTCTTCTTCTTCCTCGCATTTCAAGCTTATTGCGTATGGCATATTAGCTTATTGCGTGCTCTCAACTTAGTGCTCTAGATGCACTTCCACAGTTATTAATTGAGAGCTTTCGATGCCTGTACCATTTTTGCATTAGTATAATTGTGTGGCAAGTACAATCTTACTCTATGCCCAGGGAAGTCGAGAAATTTTCCAACCCGAAAAATTTCTAGACCAGACCGGGAATCGAACCCAGCCACCTCCAGCATGGTCTTGCTTTGTAGCTGTGCCATTACCGACTGAGCTAAGGAAGGTTCCGTAACTTTCATAAAGATCTCTAAACTCTCGTAAAGTTCTTTAGCGTCCTACATAGGAAAGTTCTTGATGTTCTTTGAAATTCCCTAATTTTTTCTAGACTCAGAAAAGTTTTCAATATTTTTTAAAAGTTTCCATTGTTATACTAAAGTTAATGGATGATGTTATTTGATGTACCCGAAAGTTTCCTCATTTTCCTAATGTTCATGGAGCCTTGTTGAAGGTCCCGCCATTTTTAAAGGAATTTTCTGAACTTCCCTGAAATATTCAGAACTTCAATGATAATATCAAAACTTCTCGACCTATCTTAAGATCTTTAAACACAATTGATCTGAGGTTATTTGATCTTCCCTGATGTTCTCGGAATGTATCTGTAGTTTTTGCGATTCTCCTGCAGTTTTAGATACTGATTCTACTTCGAGTTCTCTGAAGTCTGTGATATTTCCGAAATCTTTCTGACGGTTTTCTAAGCTTCTCTAAAGTTTTCTGCACTTTCTAAATACCGCGATCTTCTTAAAATTTATTTCTATCTTCCTAAAAATGCAATAATCTTCTCAGAAGCTCCCATCATACTTGAAACTGCTCTGAAGTGTCCAGAAATTCAATTAAAATGTTTTTGAATAATCCTGACAATCATTGTACTTTTGCAATTTTTTCGAAGCTTTTGTAACTTTCCTGAAGATTTAAAAGTTTTCCTAAAATTGTCATAACTTCACTGGCGTTCTATGAACTTATTTTAAGGTTCTCGTCTTTACTTTAAAAAAATCGAATTTCACTAGAGTACTATTGACTTCGCTAAAATTCCCGGAACTTCTTAAAGTTTCCGTTATTTTCATGAAGTTAAAACAAAATAGTTAATGCACCTAATTTATCAGAACTTATTCCTAAAGATATTTAAACTAGACTAGACTAGACTTTTTCCCTGACGTTTTCCATGCTTTTTTTAAGTTACTGGAACAGCCCTAAACTTTATAAAATTTCCTTAAGTTCTCTATACTTCCCTGAATTTCCCAGAACTTGTTAAAAGCTCCCGCCTGAAGTTAATTGAATTGCCTTGAAATTCATTGACCTTCTCTGAAGCTTCCGGAATTTTTCTTAAAGTTTTCGAATCATCCTTGAAGCATCTTCTAAAATCACTAATCTTTGCTAACCTTGCTAACGTACAACTGAGCAGGCTAAAAGCTGAATAAGCCGGTTTTAGTTGCATTGGGCAAATCTTCAGCATGGCTTATTTGTTGAGTTCTAAGACCTTCCCTGAAGGTTCCTAAATTCCCAGACAACCAGAAATCGTATAAAAATGTACAGATAGTATCGTAAATTGCTATAGTATAAGTCATATCGCATATAAGAATGACATACATCGCAAGATGTTTAAGTTTAATCGTATAGAATGCAAATTTCCGGCTTAAATACGATGATTCATTTTTCTATCGTACTGTATCACACATCAAATCGGAATATATCGTGAAACTTTTGAATTGGTTATTATAGATTAAATCGTATATGATGTCAAAATCAACTCGTTTAAAAGAATATTGAAATTTGTACGTCCGTGGCCTCCACTTTTGTACGAATAAGCCATTTTTTGCATTCTATACGATTAGTATGTTTGTTTATCACAGAAACAACTTTGAATATACATGCATTCTGGTTGTCTGGATTGTCAAGATGTTTTCGCAATTTCCTTAATGTAACGGCATTTTTCCTTATATTAATGGAAGTCTCCTGATAACTCCACAATTTGCCTGAAATTTTCGTAAAATTCTTTAAATTTTCGAAATTTGCCATAATTTTTTGAAATTTCTTGATTGTTTCAGCAATTTTCCTGAAAGAAATGGAAGTGCTGTGAAGAACTTTATTCTTGCGCGAAGTACTCGGAACTTTTCTACCTAAAAATCTCCAAACTTCTCTGAAGTTCTTTGGATTTTCCTCGGATCTTCATATCAGTTTTTTTTGACTGCTTTAAAGTTTTTTGATCTTCGCTGATTTTCCCGCATTTTTCCTAAGTTCTCGAAGCTGTCATGAAGTTATTGGAAATTATTAGATGTTCGTGGAACTTACTCGAAGATTCCGCAATTTTCCTAAAACTCTCGGAACCTTGGTAAATTTTTCGAAAATTTCCTGAGTTACTCAGAGCTTCTTCGAAAGTCTTGTAATTCCACTGATGTTAATTAAACTACTCTGAGGTTCATCTTCATGATCTTCTCTGTTGTTTTCGGAGCTTTCCTGAAATTCTCCTGAAGTACTTCTCTGAAGCTGTAAAATATATGGAAATGACCGAAACATCTTAAAACTGCACCTTCTTCAAATTCCAGGAATTTTTTTTTTTCGAAATGTTCAAGAAATTATTGGAACTGAGCCATTTTTTTTTCGACACTTGCCTTTTAATATTAAACTTCAAAAAAGTCTAGACTTTCCAAAAATTATCGGAATATTCTTGAAGTTATTGGAACTACTCTTAAAATCTCTGAACATTCGTGAAGATCTCTTATAGGACTGCCTTGAAGTTCTCTCATCTTGCTTGCAGTTATTGAAGTTCTCACAAATTTGCGGAAACTCACGGAACTGTACTGAAGTTCTCAGAATTATCCAGACATTTCTGTAAGGTTCCTGAAACTTTCTCAAACTCAGTGAAACTATCTTGCAGGTCTCTAGACATTTTCCTGAAATCTATAGACCTGCACTGAAGCTATTAGAACTTACCCTTTAAGGTCATTTAACTTTCCCCTTGAAGCGTTCTTGCATCTTTCATAAAACTGCTTAATTGTTTATCCCAATGATATTCCAAAAGTAAATTAAACTACCAGAAAGTTCTCAAATTATTTTGAAGATGTCGAAACTTCCTTCTTGTATTTGATGGTCGTGGAACTGCCCAGATGTTCAAGTAACTTTCCATAAGATATACAAACTTCTTAGAAGTTTTCTGAAATTTTTCTTCTTTATTTCGAGAACGTGTTTTCTGAATTTGTAATAGTTTCAATCCACATTTAAGGGCGTCGATTTCCCATGACGTTTTTATGCAGTGCAATTTTGTTCATATAAGCACATAGTAATCTGTATGGGCGTTCAAAAATTCCCTGATGCATTATCGTGTGCATTTTTGATCAGAGGAACGCATGTAGATCGAAATTTCAACGCCCATCTAGTTTTGATTAGAAAAAAGTTAAGGGTTGTGCCCAAAGTACGACCGCAATGTTGACGTAGGGCTACGAGATTATTGTTGCTGCTCCATTCAATAATATATTGATAACAAAATAAATGGTTTAGAAATTTAACTTCAAGTTGAACAAAAAAAAATCCATTACTTAAATTTTTGAAATTGTGCAGTTCTTGAATAAATCCTAAAATTAAGATTCCATTTTTTAAATTCGAAAATCAGTTCCTTAATTATTCATTAATATGCTTTAAACATGTTCACCCAACTTTCCGAAACTTATTAAAGTTATCCATGGCAAAACAACTTTAGAAATCAAAGTGCACCTCGCATCACAATTAAAAGCTTATTGCAGATCTATGACAGACAAGTAGCTTTCAACTAAAACCTATTTAAGTTAACTTAAATGCAGCACATAAAATAACAAACGTTTTAATTGAATAAATGGAATGTCAATTTGATTGTTCAATCGATATTGATAGTGAACGAGTACGTGATTGGTTGATTACGGCTGAAAGCTTTGATCAATTTTCAATAGTTAACCATTGATAAATAACTATCATCTTTATACCAAACAAATGTTACATTCAATCTGAATAAAATGGTGTAATTAAATTTGATTTTCAATCATAAACGACTGTGTTATAAGAGTTCAAAACCTGACACTATTTCGTCACACATTTTTTTTTTAAATTGCCACTCAGAATAGTTCACAAAGACGTAGTCCTACGTCAAAATAGTTTTCGGAGCTGGAGTAACCAGGAGTAACCACCATGACAGGCCTGCTCAAAATTCAAAAACTTTTGTTCCCGCTGAAAAAACCCGTTGCAGAAAATAGATTAAATTCGATCTTCTTACAGGAAAATTCTCAGGAATTTAATGGAATTGGTTTTGATAATGGATTCTAGAGCAAAAATCTCCTAAACCCAATCTTTCACTATTCTGCACATGCACACGATATTTTCTGAACAAAGCATGCAACTTTTAGTGCATAGTCTAATATGCCGGTAGATTACAACTGATCCTAATGGATAACTCTTTTCTGGCAAAAATGCATATGCATTTATGGGCAGAACAGGAGTCATTGCATTGTGAGCCAGTGTAAGAACTGCCATTTCATTTGATGCAAGAAACATTTTAAGCTTCGTACATTATCGTCTAGTTGTGCGCCCGACAAGTGCGGTGAAAGAGTTGCAGGAAGCGAAATTTGAATGAATCATGTCCCTAAATATACAACACCATAAAAGTAAATCTACATAAAGTACTCAAATTACGAAAACTAAACAAGACAGATTCCGCGTAATTACCTACTAGATAAAGCAAAAATAAAAAATAGACAGGGTCCGACACTAACCTGTTGCTGATGGACAAACACTGGTTTTTCCAGTCCCGCCTTCGGTGTGGCATCCTTTTCGCGGGAAAAGTCTCTCTCGATGATTCGATCCCGCGCTAGGATCCTTTCGCGTTCCTCCAGTCTGCGCTCCAGTCGTTCCGTCGTCAGTTCATTGAGATTCGGTAAGCTTCCCATCCTTCTTTGGGCTCGGATGGACTACTTAGTGCTGCTGAAGCCACCCTGTCACCACCCTACGCAGCAACCACTCCTTGGGACACAACCGTGGCGTGACGCGAATAATGACCAGGTGGTCTTGCCCGGGTAGTCGAGCTTCAAAGGCCTGAGCTACCACTCTGATGGGTCTGATTTTGGCGTCGGCAGTGCGTGGGTGTATTTATGTGGATATTGTTTTTTTTTTCTGTTTTCGGGTGTAAAGTTCTGATTTTCTCCGGCTCCGGCAGTGGTTTCTGGGAAGCTCTACTTCACTTTATATAGTAGGTCTTTAAAGGCGAAACAGAACTCTGAAAGATAAACAACAACAAGAAAGAAAAATATTAACTATTATAATCTTCGACGTAACGCGTGTCTGTGGGATGAATTTTTTGAGGAGTAGGTATTGATTGAATGAATTGAAAAAAAAATCCTAAAAGTTACACAGTTTGTGATCTGATATTTAATTCAATGGCATAAATGGTGAGGACATGTAAATGGAGACATTTTCTCTCGAGTGTCTCTTCAACACGAGATGGGAAAATAGTCACTCGGGCCCATTTATAATTCAGCTCCACATTTCACGCTGAGATATGGCACAATTCAAATCCAGCTTCTTCGTCTAAAAAAAAATGCATGCCAACAGAAACAACGTGATCGTCTGTTATGCACGTGCTCGTACGCCGCGGTAGCGAAGGCAACCGACAGTGACAGCTCAGTGGTGTCGTTTCAATAACCACAACTGATGGAGAATAAAGGATATGCATGTACGTACCACTACATATTGCAATGGAGCAACATTTCAGTTTCATCGAGAGATTCTGAAGGAAATATGGCGCGTGGATGGATAAAATTTGAACACATGTAGGTGGGTTGAATGAAAATTTATTGTTTCAATTCGATCGATCCATTCAAATTACTGACAACCAGATTGGCCACGACATTGGGGACCGGATGCCTTGGGCTTTTCTCGCTATCTGCACCGTAAACAATGGAGGTACATATTGAGCTTTGTAGAGCGAGATGTGTTCCAGTTTCATGTGGTTGTGATTGTGATTGCCCATATCCATCTGTTTGCGAAGTTGTGACCGGCCTGTACTCTGCATCTCATATTGCGTTTTCTGATGTAGATAGAAAATGTTTTGCAGGTTTCCAGTAACTGCGTGAAATAATCATGATAGTCAATTTTTGTTGTATAGAAAAAACCTTTTGCGGCATGTAACGCTACCATGCATCGGCATGACCTTCAATTAAGCTCATAAATAACAACTAAACTTCAAACAACAAAATCACAGGAAGACAGCTACTCATATTATTAATTGGCAAGTTATATTCTGTACGAGGGGTGCGATCTAAATTTCATCTATTGCATCTAAATCCATCTACTCACATAACTCACACCTTTTTGCAGGAAATCTTCAAAATTGTCATCAATCTTCTCTCTATCTATTAAGCGTGTGCGCATCTCACAACAGCAAAGTAAAATTTTTCCTGCATCTTAGATAGAGTGGCCTCCCTCTATTCTGTACAGGATGGCGTAAATAAAATGTTGGGCTGGAGAGGGCCATGGCAGTTGACAGACATGAACTATCGGTAGTAAATGCCGGCACATGTTATACACCTTTACTTTTAAAATTTGCGGGTGGAGAAACCCTCATAAACGTGAATTATAACTTACCCTACCAAAAGTGGGTAAAAATGGCTTACAACCCCTGCTAAACTCTAAATGAAATGGTTATGGAACTTTGGATGAACGCTTGAGCGATAAATTTTTAACCTTATGGTTTGATGGAACTAGTAAGGTCCAAATGTGGTTTTTTTGATATCGGTCAACTTCATGTGGAAAATATCGCGAATTGGTAATTATTAATGTAAAGGCTACCAATTCATGATAAATTCCACATCGGTTGACCGGTATTACAAAACCACATATGGAGCTCAATGATAACTATAACCATTACCATTAAAGTAATCAAAGCACAAAGAAAAAGGTTCTAATACAGTTTCCGAAAATGTAACAACCCAATATTTGTAAGGTCCAGTTAAAAAAACACAATATAGGGTCCTGATGAATGTGGGCTTCTTAGTGGAATACCTGTATAATGAGAGAGAGAAGGATTAGTATTTTCCATTTAATTCCACTACTATTTGCTTATCCTTGACAGATACGCGTATTTCGTCTACAATGTGCAGACTCGACTATCGAGTATTAGTACAAGACACTGAAGAAGTCTGCACATTGTAGACGAAATACGCGTATCTGTCAAGGATAAGCAAATAGTAGTGGAATTAAATGGAAAATACTAATCCTTCTCTCTCTCATTATACAATATAGGGAAATGGATGTAATGTCGGCCTAAATGTCTTTAATTTGGGCCCATACATAAATTCAGACTATCGACTAAATTTTCAATAGCGACCAAAAATATCTATTAGTACCGTCCCAATGACGCTTCATTTAGATAAAAATGATAAAAAGCTGATTTTTAGCGAGGGGGCCAAATTTTAGATCCATAGGCTAACATTAGAGCCATTTCCCCTATTTGGTTAAACGTTCATATAAAGTTCCATAACCATTACAGTTAAAGTTTAGCATGGATTAAAGACTGGAACGCACAAAAATTGGTCGACAAAAAAATCGTTTCTTTCAGTCAAAATTCATATCACAAAAATCTTCTAATTTTTCTTTTGGTAGTTCAAATTCATATATTTAAAGGAAAAAACATCCGTTTATTCTTTTGGTTTGCCAAAACCAAACTGCCGTGCCTTCCGCTTAACCCCTTCCATTAAATTTTGCACAGTGGTCTCATCGACCTTATTCGCCGTCGAACGCCAGTTAGATTTAAACTGCTGCTAGTTTTCCAAAGCCCAATACCGTTCGATAGGGCGGAGTTCAGAGCTGTTGGGAGGGTTGTGGTCTTTGGGTACCACAACCACGTTGTTCGAATCGTACCACTCGATAGCCTTTTCCCATAGTAGCAGCTCGCCAAGTCCGGCCAGAACAGCACAGGTCTATTATGATGCTTTAGGAATGGTAACAGCCGCTTTTCCAGGCACTCCTGGACATAGATCTCTTGATTGATGGATCCGTATTAATGAAAATGCCGCTTTTTAGATGACACGTGCATATGGCCCGCCAGACGAGATATTATTTTGGGGAACTTCGATAGTTTGATGGTTTTGAAAATTTCAGCCACCTTCCTGTTTTCCTGATGCGGTACAAAACTCCTGTCATGGAAGCTGCTTGAAATCCGCCTTCACATAAGTTTCGTCGTCCATGACGACACAGTTTGAACTTTGTGAGCAGATTCGTATACAGCTTTCGGACCGCTGCTTTGCCGACGTGTTTTGTTTGTAATCTCCACCTTCACCTTCACCTTCTTAAACGTCGACAATCTGGTTCGTTTCTTGTTCCGCTGCACAGTAGTATGGGAGACATTGAGCTTGCCAGCAACGTACCGGATGGAGAGGTTAGAATTCCGCTTATATTTCACCGCCACCTTCTTTGTCGTCGCTACCACGTCCGCATTATGATTGCCACCGCTTCCAGGGCTCCTGGCGGTCAACAGACACTCCCCGAACTTTTTTAAAACGTTTGTCACGGTCGATTTGACCACATCCAGCAATTTTTTCCAACTTGGAGCGTGAGAACGTCGGATTCTCTTGCAGCGCGTGCAAAATTTTGACACGCGCTCCTCTTGCTTGGACGTCATTTTGAAAACTGGAGAGCAAACGGTGAAAACTCATCATAGCAACCATTGTATATACACTCAACTTCCAAATGCAGCATTTCAGGTTTTTTTTTATGCATTTTTAACAGAAATACACCAATTTGAAGTTGACCAATTTTTGCGCGTTCCAGTCTTTATGACGATGATGATGATGATGAACTACCGCTCATTGTAGCAAAACAACTGTTGGTAGACCTCACTGTTCGACTTGATCAAGTTTTATTTCTTTTTTTTTCTTTTTTAATAACATCTAATTGAACTCAACCTGCCATTGAATGAAGGGCCAAAAACGGTTTGGGTGAATCCGTAGGCAGCATCGTCGACGTGCTTCTACGGGATAAATGAGAATCTTCATCCATCAACAGAATCATACAAATGGTAAAAAACAGGCCATTCAACAGGATGCCCCAGGGAGTGGGGAGAATAGCCCACCCTCTTTTCACGAAATTGTAAAGACAGGGAGTTGGCATTTCCACTCTCCCCATCTATTTCGCTGCAATCGGATGCCATTGTGGGCCCTCCCATACCCAGCATTTAATGTTTCATATAATAATGGAATGAAAATTAAGAGAAAAATATAAAGGAAAAATCTCACCCGGCATCACGAAGAGCACCCATAGATATGCTGCCGCTACTTCTTCAACCGGTGTTAAAAGCAGAACTCTCGCCTTTCGTTCCTAACACAGCAGCATAAACACCCATCAACCACGAAACACACTCTAGCTGCTCCAACTAGAAGGATTTCAGCAGAGAAAAAAGGACTGTGCCCAAGTTCCATTACCAATCACTCGTGACACAACGGCTTCAGTTGGCCAGTACATATAAGACGCTGCGCCAGCTCCTCACCAGTCGAATCAACTCGCGACCAACGCCAAAATCAGAACCGGTCCGACAACTGCAACGACCGAAAACAAACGCGTCTAATAGCGGCCACGGCACACTTCGATTGCATTTCTGAAACACAACCTTGGAAACTTTGGCAGTAAATCAACGAAATTCTCAAAAGTTCAGGAAGCTTCATAGAAGTGAAGCGAATTTATAGTAGTTCAGCGATCTTTGTAGAAGTTAAGCGAATAAAGCTAAATTTTGTAAAAGTTCACAGTTGTATGAATTCACAGAACGTACAGAGGTTTAATGCTCAGGTAAAATTTAAGAAATTCATCAAACTCCAAAGAACTATTTTTGGAACTTCCTGGAAGTTTTGGAAACTTTGTGCGCACATATGCTCAGGAAAATTCATTAAAAGGTTAAGGGGTTAAACCAGTGTAGGAGCCGATAAAAAGGGTAAATTTCGCGATATTTTTTGGCGAACAGCGTGCTCGAAGACCATGAACAGCTTCCGGGTTTGGCTTTTCATACTGCAATGCAAAGGAATGCCATTGCCGAGTGTTTCTAGACAAATAAGCTTTCGAAATTCCCCAAAAATTATTTGGTTTGGCAGGCCATATGTAGTTGCGGCCGGAAATCCAAAAGTTTTATCTCTACCGGCACTACCAACAAAGATGTGTACGAGAAAGAATGTTTGCAAATGCGGTTGCTACCATTCATCAGAAGCCACGACACTTTAGCTCTATTTTGGC